AGTGTGTATTTTAAAGGAAAAGCGCTGGGAAAAAGGTACTGGTTGCTCCACAAATGCCTAATAACAGTATTTAGTCTTGTCGGAAACACAACTACGCAGAAATAAAGCAAAATTCCCCTCAGTGTTCGTTCCCTCCCGCTCCGCATGGGACTCTGCAGCGCGAGTGCTCTGCAGCCGCCTGTGATCACAGCCCTGCGCCCTCCCGCTGAATGAATTAAACAAATCATTAATGGCCATCGCTGCCAGGAGCTCGGTGTGACTCGGTGCTGCTCGCTGTGACTCGGGGCTGCTCCCCGTGCTGTCCCCCATGTCATCCTCTCACCCGGCCCCAAGGCCGCCCCTCACACCTGCGCGGGGCCGGGTCGGGGCGGGCCGGGGCGGCGGGAGGAGAAATCCCCACTCCGTTCGTATTTCCGCCCCGAGMAGACCATGACTCATCCTTCTCTTGTGCCATAAATAGGGGCCGAGCGAGCGGGGCCGGTAGAGCGAGCTGCCGAGCCAGCCCTGCGAACGCGATCCCGCCATGGTTCCGCTGCCCCTGGCCCTGCTGGCCGCGCTGCTGGCCGCCGGCCACGCCGGTGAGTCCGCCCCGCGCTCCGATAACGCGCTCCTGCCTTTGCTCTCTTGGTGCTTCTCCTTCTCTCGCCGCTCCTCGCTGTGCGCGGCTGCCGGGCCCCAGCGCTGCCTGTGAGGGGTGATCTCCCCTTGCTGAGGGGGTTTATTGCCGTCGGCAGACACGAGTTGGATTCCTGCGCTTTGCAAAGCCCCCGCCTGCTAGCGCGGGGGTTGCCGCGGATGGATGGTGGCTGGGATGCCTGCCTGATAAAAGCTTAAGGTTCCAGGGTATTCTCACTCGCTGTATAAAGTGCTGGGAAAGTGGGAGTGTGTYGCAGAGGCGCTAACCGGAGCTCTGGTTCCCCCGCAGCCAACCCCTGCTGCTCGAACCCCTGCCAGAACAGAGGMGTCTGCATGACCGCGGGGCCCGATCGCTACGAGTGCGACTGCACCAGGACGGGCTACTACGGCCAGAACTGCACCACGCGTGAGTATCCAAACCCTCTTCCGTTCATGGCAATGAAACGCACAATCCCGTTCCAGCATTGCAGGTTGTCCTCCCTTCGATAATTAATGATAACCTTCCCATTGTTGCTCGCAGCGGAATTCTTCACGTGGCTGAGGCTAGCGCTGAAACCATCGCCGAACACTGTCCACTACATCCTCACCCACTTCCAAGGAGCCTGGAATATCGTCAACAACATTCCCTTCTTGCGGGATGCTATTATGAGATAYGTGCTAACGTGTAAGTGGGAATTGTTTCTTCCAGTCCTCTTAAAACCTGCTCCAGAATATTGCACGGCATTGGTCTGTGTATAAGCCAAGCAGCCTAAATTGCACTAAGGTYGAAACACCAAAATTTATGACTCCTGCGTGATGCAGACTTGTGTGAAACATGCTGAAGTGCAGCTTGATCCTTCTCTCTGCAAGAATCCAGAATTTTGCTGACACAAGCTTAGCACCCAATTGTTCGTGTTAATAGTGAGATCCAGCTGATAAGTCAGGATCCAGTCCTGTTATTCAGTAACTGTAGTCATATTTAACGTCATTAACTGGTATATGTGGAATTTACATCTGCTGCCAAATATATGGAAAAGGTCTGGCTTCATRATTTGCTTTTTGAGACTGAAATGTGCAGTTAAAAATAACCAAATACTTATTTGTCTTCCAGCGAGATCACATTTGATYGATAGCCCACCGACTTACAATAGTGACTACAGTTACAAGAGCTGGGAAGCTTATTCCAATCTTTCCTACTATACGAGGAGTCTTCCACCAGTAGGACTTGACTGCCCAACACCAATGGGTGTTAAAGGTGAGGAATAAACCAGATATGTAATGTTGGCTTGGTCTTTTCTAAGAGGAAAAAATAATTAGAAGTTCTGAGACCTGCTTGTCTGTAGCTTTTTTTCAGTGTAGTTGACTTTAAGAGTAGCCRTGTTTTGGATATATTGTGTACAGATCAAAAAGATAATTATTCTGGTTCTTCTTACTGAGTTACATGTTTAAAAAAGTGAATTTAGAAATTTCTAATTGAGAAAGTGAGCACAGAAAACTAGTAATCCCTCTTGTTTGTGTGCTGGTTTCAATCAATATTCCACTGAAAATCTTAAGTCTTTTTGTTACAAATAAACTTAAGCATTGCATAAGTATTTGTCTTGAGTATCTCACWGTCTGTTTGTCCCACAGGTAAGAAGGAGCTCCCAGATTCAAAGCTGATCGTGGAGAAGTTTCTGCTGAGGAGAAAGTTCATTCCTGACCCGCAAGGCACCAACGTGATGTTCACGTTCTTCGCCCAGCACTTCACCCACCAGTTCTTCAAGACGGACCACAAGAGGGGCCCTGCTTTCACCAGAGCGCTCGGCCACGGGGTATGGTCACAGCTGGGGATAGGCTCGTGCTGCTTGTGWGCTGCCAAGTGGCTGGAATGGCCAGAATGGCATCCTGCAGGTTGCCAGGGGACACAAACATCTGTGCACACACCGTGCCACAATCCCATGGGATCACCCCTTCTGCAGCTGCTCCTCGGGCCAAATTCCAGCGCTCAGCAGCGTCTCTTCCTGGGCCAGAACCACATGCTCTGCGCAAGTGGTTCTCTTTGAAATACCTGCCCAGTGAACTCTTATTATTCCCAAAAATCTGCTTTTACCTATTTAGCAAGCATCCAAAACTTCTCTGGACTCTRTCAGTTCCAAAGAGYTGAATCCAGCCCTAAAGTGTCTCTYGTACTGCTAATAGACTTAGTTTAAAAAGAGATTCAAATGTGGGCTTGGGTTTGGGATCTTTACCTACAAAATAGACTCTTTGGACACCGAGCTCTTCACTATAAGTGTAGCATATATGTCCAAACCAAAGCTATAAATTGTGTGTGTATATACGGGAAGCTGTCTGCATAATACAAAGTTGCTGACACTTTAAAYAGAGTCCTTTTAAATTGCCCACATAACAACCTCCTCTTACGCAGAGATGTCTCCAGTTGCCAGGAAATAATTTGGCTTCATCTTAAATATCGGTGYGTGATACTTATAAGGTAGCAGTAATATAATGGAAAGGTAAACATCTAGGGGGTGAACTCCTATTGGCATCCATAGAAGTGRGACCTATCCTAAAATAGCAAAAAATGCACGTTGACTTCATGTCCCAAATGCTTTTATTTTATAGGTTGATTTGAACCACATTTATGGAGAAACTCTGGAGAGACAGCTTAAATTGAGGCTYCGAAAGGATGGAAAGCTAAAATACCAGGTATGTCTTAGCTCAGAATTCTTCCCTTCTTACTGGACCGCAAAGATTTCCTAAATGGGTGCGATCCCAARTGTGAGAGCTGAGAGAGTTGGCAGAGCTAAGCCAAAGTTCGGTGTCTCAGAGGTGCTGTTGTTTGTCCCTTGTATAGATGATCGACGGAGAGATGTACCCACCGACGGTGCGGGACACGCAGGCTGAGATGCTGTACCCGCCCCACGTCCCCGAGCACCTGCAGTTCTCCGTGGGCCAGGAGGTGTTTGGCCTCGTGCCAGGGCTCATGATGTACGCCACGATCTGGCTGCGCGAGCACAACCGTGTCTGCGACGTGCTCMGGCGTGAGCACCCCGACTGGGACGACGAGCAGCTCTTCCAGACCACCCGCCTCATCCTCATAGGTGAGGCTTGCTGCTCCTGCCTGCTGCTCCAGCTCGAGCCTGCATGGCTGGAGCGAGGGCAAAGCCATCCCATAAATCGGGGTGAAGGTGGCTCCTTCGTGGCCTGTAGCTGGGGGTGCATTGAGGTGCAGCTTCCCTCTGCTCTGCTACAGACAGAACCGTAGAAAACTCGGGGACGCTCAGTTCCCTTATCTGAGGGAAGCAGGACTGAAAGCAGTGAAAAGGCAGGAAGCTCAGGTTCCTTTCTCAGACAAAGYCTCAGCTCCCAGATCGAGTTTTGTKGGTTTTTTCCCCTAGGGTTGGGTCAGTTCAGGTATGCTCCAAAAGAAAGGCTGTGATTAAGTCTAAAGTTCAGGAGGTTATGTAAAATGTAACTCTGCATAGTTCTCCTGTCTAGTTGTATGCCCAGTGGCATTTTGTCTTATGTAAATGGTGATGTGCTCTAAGCTGGAAAAAACCTTGCCCTAACTGAAACCAAGACAATTGTACTAGGCAGCTCAGAAGCTGAGATTTGCTTTCAGACATCAACTTTCTTCATTACTCCCTCCCTCTATCCTAGAGGTATTGTGTGACCGAACTCAGTGTAAATATTAATGTGTGCTGTCCTGTGGAGGGAATTGTGTCTTGGCAGTGGGAACGGCAGAACAGGCTGTAGAAAACACCTCACTACCCACAGCCCAGAACTCTTKAGATCCTAAGCACTGTTCCACCACTTAGTCACATAAAACATGTGAATTGCTTTCTGGAAGCAGTTACAGAAGGCTGAAGCGTCTGTTTTCCTGAGTGCTGTAGTATATTTTAGAACAGTTCAGAAATGGTGTTTTTCCCTGACACTGRGGAAGAGCAGTGCCAACATTCTGTCTTTGTCCAACAGGAGAGACGATCAAGATCGTCATTGAGGACTACGTGCAGCACCTGAGCGGGTACCACTTCAARCTGAAGTTCGACCCTGAGCTGCTGTTCAACCAGAGGTTCCAGTACCAGAACCGCATTGCGGCCGAGTTCAACACACTGTACCACTGGCACCCGCTGCTGCCCGACACCTTCCACATCCACGACCAGGAGTACACCTTCCAGCAGTTCCTCTACAACAACTCCATCATGCTGGAGCACGGCCTCTCCCATATGGTCAAATCYTTCTCCAAGCAAAGTGCTGGCAGGGTAGGTCCTTCCTCAAGCTGAGGGCGAGCTAACAGGCATGAGCTGGGGGTGGGATGAGGGAATGGGATAAAGCTTTATATTAAACACTAATCACTGGAAAGGCACACCTTCCTCGTGACTGTTATCAGGAGATCTTACAGCTTTTCCTCTTTCATGAACAGGTTGCTGGTGGGAAGAACGTTCCTGCTGCGGTGCAGAAAGTGGCAAAAGCTTCCATTGACCARAGCAGGCAGATGAGGTACCAGTCCTTGAACGAGTACAGGAAACGCTTCATGCTGAAACCGTTCCGGTCCTTCGAAGAACTGACAGGTAACAGTTYTCATCCTTCCCAGCAAATGAGAGACGTTGCCTTGAAATGCCCACAGAGTCCTGCTAGACGTGAGCAGGGCACTCTGAAGAAATTGGGATTTTTCCACTTACGTTTTTTATTCCTTGCAGGAGAGAAAGAGATGGCTGCGGAGCTGGAGGAGCTGTACGGGGACATCGATGCCATGGAGCTGTACCCAGGCCTGCTGGTGGAGAAGCCCCGGCCCGGGGCCATCTTTGGCGAGACCATGGTGGAGATGGGGGCACCCTTCTCCCTGAAGGGTCTGATGGGCAACGCCATCTGCTCGCCCGAGTACTGGAAGCCCAGCACCTTCGGGGGCCAGGTGGGCTTCRACATCGTCAACACGGCCTCCCTGCAGAAGCTCATCTGCAACAATGTCAAGGGCTGTCCCTTCACCGCTTTCCACATCCTGCCTCCCGAGCCCACCGAGGCCACCATTAACGTTAGTACCTCAAAAACTGCCATGGAAGATATCAACCCCACGCTTCTGCTGAAAGAGCGCTCTGCCGAGCTGTAGAGATCCAGCTAGTTGTCTATTTATTTATTTAACTGTCTTATTTATTCTATTTATGGCTTAGTATTTAAAAAAACAACTTGAGTATCTTCATTGTGGGGGTTGCCTTAAGTTCCTTACTGAGGTAAGGCTTCCATTTACAAAAGGGATTTTCTGTGTTCGAGCTCGACAGTGGTGAATCCCTTGTTTAAAATCTTCTGTAACAGAACGATGTATTCCAAAGTGGAGAAAGGATCCAACTTTGTTTTAATACTGTTTTAATACTTGATGAAGGGGGGGTGGTGGTGATTCTGTCTGGCAGTTTTCATGGGTCAAGYAACACTACAGAAGCAACTTCTTTTCTCAGCAACTTGAAAGCAGCTATTGACCTACAAGAAAAATCTGACTTAATGAAAACTGCCAGAAGAGATTACAGATTCCATATGAGCACTCAAAAACTAACCAAAAAATACTTGAGACTCACTTTTTTATATAAGGTCAGAAAATGCATTACRTTTGTTGTTGGTACTACCTCTCCCTCATTGCAGATAGGGCACTTTGTATCATAACTTAATGTCTCTTGTGAACAAATCCACTCCTGGATGGAGATGGAARTCAATGTTTTTTACAACTTTTTAAAAAGCGTAATTATTTAAAGAAAGTAGTACTTTTCTTGAATTTCTACTTTTTTTTGAAGCAGGTGTGGCAGATGTGTTAGTTGTGTAAGGGAGTGAGAATGGGATCCTGAGCTTAGCATTAACTGAGTTTCAGGCTGCTTGCGTTTGGATAGGGATGTTTTTATTGTGYAACTTTGGGGAAGTCTTAAACTTAGCCCAAGGCACTGGGATTCTTCTCATAGCTGTAGTTCTCTGGTCTACTTGRTAATGTAATTTTAATGTCTGTTGCTCTGAGGACGGGAGGATGTTGTAGCTGGAGCTGGGGTGTGGCTGTGGCTTCGTGCTCCCAGGGCAGAGGGGCTGTAAAACTGAGCAACTCTGTAAATACACAGAGAGCTGAGCACAGAAGGGGTTCAGCACTGCCTCCAGGCACAGGAGGCAGCTCTGCCTGTGTGTGCAAGCTGTACATGCTATTTGTGCTTCTATTTATTGGGGTTGGGGTGGGGGGGGGAGGAGGGGTGATATTTTACTTATAATTTATAAACAGAGGCATTTTAAATAAGTGGCTTGAGCTTCTTTAAAACTGGTTAGCACAGAATCTCCTTGACATATTTGTCGTGATCCAGCATTAAAATATCTAGTCTCATCTGGGCACAGGATCTTGTACCAGCACTTCAGACTTTGCATGTAAGGGTATCTTTTTTTAATTTCTAGAGAGGAAGTGTAGAAGATGATCTTCCCATAAAAACAGCTGGGGAACTATAGGGAAAAAGAAAATGTCACTTCAGACTGGAGTAGAGCAGCAACCTGGTGTTTTGTGCCCCTGCCCAAAATTCCTTGACTACTTGTGGAAAAGGACTTGAGTTTTCTGTTTCATCTGACTCTGTSTAGCACTTGTAGAGGCTCGTGCATTGTACCAGCTGTGGCAGTAGTGTAGTTTGTCTGTGGCTGCTGTTCCATGGATTTGTTTAGGGCCAGCCATGCCTCATGCTGGGCAGGTCTGTGAGGAGCAGAACAAGCTATGTGGCAGCCACCARTACCAGTGACTGCTCTGGGCTGGTCCTTGGTACGGATGCTGTGGGAGAAAGAAGGGCATTTGTTTTCCTCCTTCTGTTTGAAGCATGAAGAAGGGAAAGCCTTGTCTCCCTTTGTGTCTAGAGGGGGTCAGTGCTAACGAGCAAACACTGCTGGGACACCGGCTCCTCATGCATCATCAGATCCATCAGATCCAGCTCTGGACACCCTCCAGAGCATCCTTGTGCCATTCACCCAGGAGCAGGGTTTGGCTGAGAGGCAAGGGGAGGCGAGTCTAGGCACAACGAGTTATTTTGGGGTGGGTACAGAGGAACTCCTCGGACCATCTCGCCTGAGTTACAGGCTGCTGCAGCAAGGAATCCTGTGCACTCTGTGTTTTGTACTCCACAGCCACTGAATGTGGGGGTCTGAGATTATTTATTTAAAATTCTGTGAATTGTTTTTCACTTTATTTTTGTAGGACAACAATGTTGTTAAAATGCAGTTGTTTAAATAAATAAATCGAAAACATTACCTTTCTGGWCTACTTTGGTTTTGTTTTCCTTCAGCAGTACTTAATAGGGAACAGTTCTTTCATTGATCTGCCACTCAAGATTACATGAAGAACTACAGGGCATTACCATCAGCACTGAATTCTCTGTTGTGTTAAACCCAAGATGTCTGGAGTTTAAATTATCCAASTGGAGTAATTTTTTTCCCTTTTGGCTGCAAGTGAGAAGGGATTTCACTGTTCCATCCCTGGAGAAGGCAACTCCTCTTACCTGCAGCAGAGATGCCAGCACTGCCCCAGCAGCTTCAAAGGGAAAGTGCAATGTTGGAGTTGCACAACACTGCCCTAGTGTGACTAACTTCCCTTCCTCACTTCCCTTTTCCCAGCCTAGAACAGTCCAGAGCTGTTCCCCTTCATGTCTGGAATTCTCCATAAGGGGAATCTGCTTTGAATATGAGTGATCACTGGGCCAGAGCAGGGCTGTGCTTCCTAAAGCCTGGAGCAGGAGCTTGGACAATGTTCAGGCCACCCAGCCTCTTTACCTCTGGTGAAAAACAAGGGGAAGCTGGGAAGGAGACMTCCCATGGGATCATTGTACTGCCTGTCAGTCACCACCTGTGCCAGCCTCTGTCCCCTCAGTGCCCTCCAACCATCCCACTGCTGCCTGTCCCCAGTGCTCCCCCATCCCAACATCGGTGCCCCATCCTCTCTCAGCCTCTGCCTGGGGACCAGCCCCAGAGCCACAGTCCTTCACCGACAGTCACCTTTCTTCCAGCCACCCAAACTCTTCTTGGGTCCAAGCTCATCCCAGTGTCCCAAGGGTCAATATTCCCAACAGCTCTGCAACCCTGAGAGTGTCACCCTTCTGCCCGTGGAGTGCAGCTCCTTCTGTACTCAGGCACCCAAACACCTCCAGCAATCCTCAGCACTCATCCACATCAGTGACTATCTCCAGCCACAAACTCAGCATCCTGAGGACCCTTCCCAGAGCATCCCTTCTGTGTCGCTCCTGCCACGCTCCAGGCTGTGGGTGAGCGGGGGTGAGTGCCCACCATGTGTGGGGCTTTTTCCTGTGGCACCCAGCCAGTYCATTGTCCCACACGTGAATTGCCAGCTCCCTGTTCTGGTGGGGAGCCGAGCAAGGGAGGAGTGAAGACAAGGAGGTATCGATGGGGCAGCTGCAGGGTCACCCATGGAGAAGGTGTTTTGGGTGGCTGCTGCCCTCACCAGGGAAGGGCCAGCCCGGATGGATTCCGGCACAATGGCTTGATCGAGGAGGAGCTCCTCCTTCCCTCTGAGCAGGGGCATGTCCTGATGACACAAGAGACAAGAATGTTCCCCAGAGGAAACTTGCCCTGCCAAATTGTTGCTCCCTAGCCTGGGCTGAGGGAACTGTTTCACACGAGGCAATGCGATGAAGGAGGGGGCTCAGCAGGAATTCCACCCAGGCACAGAGCTCCCATGGCAGCTGCTTTCCCAGATTCCAGGAGATGTTCCTGTCACAGAACATCACCCAAGAAAATACTCCTTCAATCCAGAAAAGTCACCAGTCAGCTTGACTGGAGAGAGGGAATGGGTCCATCAGTCCTTCCCTGCCTGTCCACAGCCGGTGATATAGGTGAACAGCTTTGGAAAAGCTCTCTGCAAATCTGAGTTGCTTCCTTTGGAAGACCAGGAAGGGAAAAACCCAAATGTAGGAATGTGTATGTAGGACAGAAAGGGGCAGGCTGTAGCTCTGTGCTCTAAATATGGAAAAGGAGATGAACTGAGACATCCTGCCCTCTTTGATAAAAGGCATGAAGACAGCCACATGAGGCTGAAATGCAGCAATATCCCAAAGAAATATAGGGAAAACACTCTCCTTGGGAATGCTCTTCCTTTAATCTGGGATTTTCAGTTTGCGTATTGAGGAGCAACAGCATTGGATTCAATCTGTAATTCTTTCCTCTGACCCTCTTGTTTTCTCCTATTAGCATAAAACCTGTGACCTCTGTGCTTACTTACATAGTAAATCCAGATATTTTCATGGGTATTAGCAAGAGGCTGATCACAACCGAAATCAAATCCAACCAAATTTTCCATTCTGTAGTTTTCTTGTCTGAAAATTGTGAGAATCCCAGCATTCACTTCCAGCCAGAGCTTGAGGAAACAGAGCCAGAGGTGGACTGGGCAAGCTGGGAGAAGGAGTCTGTTAAAGCTGGTGAGATGTCCCCAGTTTGCCACTGGGACAGGRCAGGGTACASAGCACACCATGTTTGACTYRTGCYKGTTCYTTTTCATCCAGCAGGTATTCCCCAKCTGAGAYAAARCAAAGCAGGGGAACCCTGAATCTGCAGGAAGAAGGAAAATAAAGTTCAAAGCATCTGCTTTCAAACCAGCCCACTGCATACCCCACGAGGAGCTCTGGATCAGTACCCTGTCCTGGAGTGTCCAAGGSYRGACTGGACAGGGCTTGGASCCCCCTGGACACCTGGAAGTAGAAGGAGGGTAGAGATCATCCTCAAGGTCCCCTCCAAACCCATCCACTCTGGGTTTCTGTGATTCTATTTAGCCCACAGCAGGGCACACCTACAAAAAGTTGAAAACACTTTGCCTCTTCTAACAAACTGCAGCCTTAATTTATTTTTTTAATGTTAAATCAGAAGGGCAATTTAACATTAAAAAAAAAGGTGTCACACAACCAGGAGCATCCTGCTGCAAGTGCCTCAGATCTTTACTCTATAGGATCATAGATTAATTATGAAAAGACCCCCAAAATCAAAGCAGTATCTCACGGTTCTCTCTCAGGACAAGCCCCCAGGTGCCTCTGAGGCGATGTGGGAGCTGCATTCCTGCTGTGTGTTGTATTTTCTGGCAGTAACCAGGTGTATCCCAGCTCCCTCCATGGTGGARGTAGGTGTGTGCGAGCATCCCTGTCCCAACCTGCCCTGCTGACAGGGAGCTCCTGCACCCATTCCTTTGCCCCAAAAGCACCACATTTGCGGCCAACTTTCCTCAGAGAGCACCTGGAACCTCTGAAACACACACCCACCCCTCCCAAAATGGCCAAAGAGTGACAGCAGTGCCCGGGATACCATGGGGGTGGGAAGACCAGTTTCCCAAATCTGTCCAAAGATCTGCCCAAAATAATTATTCCACAGGCATTCCTCGAGGGAACACCGTACTAGCCACATGGGCTCCAGCTGACAGGGATATCCCCAAATTTATGCTGGSAGGTCCTCAGAGGTGGGAGGTAAAAACTCCTCGGGGTACAAACCCAGAAAAAAGGAGCTTTAAATCTGATTTTATGCACTGAAACTCTTCAGTGAGCCACGGCAGAGCAACAAAACGTGGCTGTTCTGCAGCACCCTGAGCCCTGACCCAACCTGGTGCCCTCTCAGCTGTGGCTGTCCAGCCTGTTGCCTAGACAAGGTTAATTAATCCTGCCTAACAAATAATGGCAGAGTTGCTAAGTAGCACTGGTAGGTGCTCATTAGAGCAAATCCTGGCTGAGCTGGCTCGGGGTGGAACAGCAGCTCTTACACAAGGTGGGGATGTCCCTTGGTGTGGTGATGCCATCACATCCAGGGCTACTGCGTCCAGAGAGGCAGGGGAGGGAGAGACCTCTCCAGCTGAATCAGGGCTCGGATTTTTATAGCACAGGGAATTTCTGTGGAAGCAGGATAAAAGAAAACATTTTTACACCAGAAATGGACTGAATTTTAAGAATGTCCAGTGAATTGGTGGGATTTCAGGCAAATTCGGGATGTGTTTCTGGCAATGGAACAACAAACCATCTTTTCACTGCTTGCCAGGTCAAGCATTTGTCATCACAACTGACCCAGCCTGGATGGAGAAAAAAAAGATTTCCCAACTTGAGCATGAAGTGGAAGATCCTTTTACAGGTTAAGGAAAGGATTTAACATCATTCCAAAGGGAAGCTGACATTATTATACCTGTAGGAAACCTCGGATGTAGGAAGCCTTTACTCTATGCCAGGAATGGTTTTCCTTCCATGATAAATTGAATCTCCAGCTCATTARGTGGAGGTGGATAAAACACTGAACTGAAGCTTCCATGTGTTTGCCCTTGGTCTGAAGAAAGAAAAAGGATTCTTGCCTCATTTGGAGGGAAATCTGAGGGGCACATGGACACYCTCCATGAAGTTGAAGTGTCCCATAACTGCAGAACAAATCTCAGAACACTCAAGGAGAGATGAGACCTTGGAGAGTGCTTCTGGTTCAGCAGAGCCCAGGGGTTTGGTTTCTGCTTTCCTGGGCACTCCTGGGAGAATCTCTGGAGATTTTCTGTCTGTGAAGTCCACACCTCCCCCAGAGTGCAGGCAAGGGTTCTGGATCACTTGGTGCCAAATGTGTAAGACTTTTCAATCAATAGAAACAGAAGAATTAATTGCAGAAAAATAGAAGAAAATAAATAGAAGAAATTCTTCTTTAAATTCTTCTTTAAATTCTTCTTTAAATAGGAGAAAAATTAGGGCAGGCAGTGGTTCCCCACAAGCCAAGATCAGTGGTGTTTCACAGACAAATTTTTGAAAGCAGCAGCAAAACCAAAACCAGTTCTCATGTGAACAGAGAATTTAAATCCCCAGGGTTCCTGATTTTTTTGGGAAGCTGATTTCCCCTTTGAAGACACTTCCCSATTTGGCCTTTGTTACAGTTATTTCCCATGACTCCCTTTGAACTTTCTTTGCCAATAAGTGAACATTTACCACCATTTTTCTCAATATTTGTGTATTCAGCAGCCAGGTCTCCAGTGCCTACAGCTGAAGCTGGAGGTGGCACTGCTGAAGCTGCACATGATTTTTCATGACATTTTTGGGCTGCTGCAAACATCATTTGCAGCTACAAACTCCCCACTCTGCATCTTGCAATGGTAAGTCCTTTGTTGAGGACTGAAAATGTGCAGGTTGGATGCAAACCAGCACCCCTGGGCTGCTCGGTGTTCTGAAACAATCTGAAAAACTCTTCTCCTGCTGCATGTGGGGTTCAGAACCAAGCTCTGAAAAGCTCAGGAGCTTGTCTGC